GCTATAAATAAAGAAGTACTGTGATAATGACATAACATACTTCACATAAGTACAGATTGAACTTAAATAACAACAGAACAAACGATCCTGTCGCCAATCGTTCTGTAACTCGCTTGTCATTTGTAAGGAGAATAGGATAGCGACTATGTCTGTTGTTCATCCTCAAACACATTTAGTCTTTCTTTCTTTCTCAATATTCTAGTTCAGATAGCAAAATAACGAGGCACAATTTTCACTGTTTCTTTCTTACTATATAAACTCTTTATTTATTTATCTATTTTACTTTTTTAGTTTTTTGGGGTTTTTTTAACATTTCCTATTCTCATTTTTGTTACCTGTTTTTCTTTAAATCGTTCTTTCAGAATTTATAACGGTAAGAAAGGCAGGTGAAAAGCAAGCTGTTTGTGATATAAACATTTCTGATAAAAAAATCTGTCGGCTCGGACGTCGGAGAGGACACAGTGTCTCCAGAATAAACACGTGATCAATCCGGTGGCCCGATCTATATTTTTTCCGATCAGGAAACTTTTGGTATTGAATATGTTATCAGTTGCCTCTTCTCCCTCCAAACTCCTACATTAAACTTTTTATCGAGTCGGAATTAAAATTCTTATTTCACGCTGATTTTGTCCCAAAAATAAATTCAGAAGAAAAGGGATTCCTTAAAATATAAAGTACGATCAATATATAAAACTATAAATTCTTTAAAAACAGATCAAGTTTACTTCACGATTTTGATCAATCTTTATTTATCTTTAATCTAAATCTTAATTATTTCCATGAAAAAGGAAGGTTCATTTTGTTTTATCTATAGTCTGTTTCAATTTTTTTGTGAACAATAGATAATTTTGTACTGAATGTTTTTGATTAATCTGTAGTTCATTTCATGATTTCTGTGAAAAATAGGTCATCTTTGCTAAATGTTCATTCTATAACCGCGGAAATTCGAACGATTGACAACCTTTAGAGGATTTAATTTGGGTTTGAGATTAAGTCAAACGTTATTTGATCAAATGTGTCTCTTTCCTTTCCATCATGGATATAAACCCAAAAACAAACAAACAAACAAACAAACAAACAAACAGACAAAAAACAAACTGAAAACAACCAAATACACAAAAACAAACAAAGATAAACAAGTCTATAAAAAAAAACTCCAGTCATTGAATTTCCATAACATTCCTCTCTTTGTATGAAATTGCTCTGAGTTCTGTATTGTACGTAAAGAATTGTCCTGTCAGCATTCTGTATGGTGTTATAATGAATTTGTTTTATTAAAAGCGTATGAATGACAATGATTTCATTGATAAAACATTGCAGCGACCCACGCATAACTTGTAACTTTTGTACAAATAATCGATTCTCGTCACATTATATACCGCGCTGGAGCGAAAACAACCGCACTGCATGAATAAAAGATGAAAGACTATTAGAGGAAAAGCCAATTATCTCCAATATGTCGCTATTCAACGGGACCACCCGTACTGTGGAGTTATTTCCCCTTGCGACTATCGGAGTACACGAGTTAACTCCCTTCTCATTTATGTGCTTGATCCAAAATTCATGAACGATGTCACAAAACGTATAGCTTTTCATTTATATACATAAAAAGATTTCTCGTGGAACATATTTTGAAATGACAGATGCAGGAAAACTGGTTTTGCAACATGCAATTGTAGTTTTGATTGAAAAAATTCAAACGCGTATGTAAGTTTTCCCAAAAATAGGAAGATTTGAAAGTTATCAAGCACCTCAAAATAGTCTTAAAATGAAGAAAATTCATAATGTTTCATCGCTTAATCCGCTTCATGGTATCAATAATTATCATATAAATATTATATTTGTGAAGAAAAAAATGAATTATCAAAAAAAGGCATTCTCAATCGATTCACATGTTATTGCTACTATTCATAGTGTGACGTAATTTAGAATATTGAAATAGCCAATCGCATGCCACCAAGATTAAGTGGGGGTTCAGTGTTTCGTGAGTAAACACAGCATCGCTAACCGACCGGCCCGTTTCTCAGTTCCACGTGGAACACCAACCGTCACGGCTTGGGAACTTCGAACCACGAACCTCGTAACGCTCTACCGACTGTGCGCTAGCGTTCCCTAACACCAACACACATGTATTAGAAAATAAGAACCCGGCTTAGATATGAAACGTAAATGATAAAGGAAGGTAAATTAAAAAAAAAAGGAAATTTGATATCATTTTTGGTTTTTGTTTTCTTTTTGTGATACCAGCATGTACTTATTTATTCCACGTTCTCTTTATTTATTTATTTATTTATTTATTTATTTATTTATTCATTCATTTATTTATTTATCTATTTATTTATTTATTTATTTATTTATTTATTGTTTTTTGTTATTGCTACTAGTTTTTTGTGACGTTTAGTGTTGCTTTCGATTTATGTTATTTACTACAAAACATAAAAGGATTTTGTCTTGAAGTAGACAAGTAGCTAATATTTCTTTTAACAAGTATAAGTCATAAAAATGTTTCCTCTCAATTCTTCTTATTTACTGCATGTACGCAAAAGGACTGGGGAATTCCATTACATAACATACAGGGTCATCTACAGATCATAGACAAGAATGCTCACCTTCTTGAGTCCGTGGGAGTGGGTCTGTCGATCTGGGAGAGGTCCAATTTGACAGTTATGTTATTGAGACGATGTATCTGTTACCTAGAGAGATAGAAGCCCTAGGGTTTCTGTACAGTGATAAACATGTATCATTTAACAAATGTCTCCCATGTGATATGAAAAAATAAGATTGGAGATGTTTATCCGAGCTGTCTCTCGATACGTCATAGCGAACGTCGCATATTGGCAGGAATCGCCTCGATTCCAAGCTATTGTTTCAGTAGGATCTCATTGGCCTTGACACAAGGAAAAGAAATCAAATTTTCTCAGCTTGGTGCTAAGCACAATTACCAAAGCATCATGAACTGTCCTTTTAAAAATGAGCGTCATTTAAAACGTTTTAAAATTGTTTCTGTTTACATATTTGTCAAAGTAGTTTATAATGAGGCAGATTTGTGCTCGGATGGCGCAGTGGTAAACGTACCCGCTTTCACTTAGCCGGCCAAAGTTCGATTCACCGAACAGATCAAGTAATTTCAAAGAGTATTGAATTACATATACATAGGAACTTAAATGAGATTTCAATGTGCTTTTATGAAATGAGTCTTAACAGTTTAAATTTTTGGTTGCCATGACGTTCATGAAATAAAAACAAATTTAAGATATTGTTTATCATATAATCGAAAAACAAAAATCCATTTAGATATTTTTAAAGTTAAAGATGTGGAGGACAAGAACGAACAGAGGCAGTCATTATGTGGTGTCATTTTCAATTCATGACGAAATGACATTGTAAATATTATGACATCACAAACAATATCTGATTGACGCAGCCAATGAAAACCGCTTTAGTGTATATACCACCAGTGACAGTTACATGAGCACATACAATGGTAGATTAAGTGATATTATAAACAATATAAAATTTTACGAAAGGGTCATAAAGAACAACTCATATTTAAAAATAGAGTTCAAAGTTCATTAAACCACTCTACACTCAATAAAAAGGAATTGCACTTCTGTAATGTGTACATTTGTCAATTTAAATCCATCAGTCCGGGTCGTCGATTCGTGTTAAAGGCTGTACACTATATCGTGAATATCTGTATCAACCCCTAGTGCAGAAAAGTCACTCCTGAAATTGAAGCAGTTCCCCTTACACTCTGCGTATAAGAACTGTTATGGCCTAGTAGTTGTAAAATTCAATAGAGTCAAAATAGATGGGTTCTTTCTCTGCATATACAATTGGCGTCTTTTCAAATTTTGTGTGAGGAAAATTACGGTTTGCTAAATTATGTAGGGGTCGATGGTAAAACGACAAAGACAGTTTGATGACGACGTAAAGAGAATAAGAGCACGATAACGCCCATCTGTTCAAATGTATTATATATCAGGCGACGAGTACAGATCAGACAACAGGAACAGATTAAGATAACGGTAAATATATATGTTCGAAAATAAAAAAATATTTCGATAGTTCTGAAAAGGGATATATAGATATAAAAAAAATAGATTTAGGCACGTTCTGTAAATAGATACATGTGTGTGCATTAAACCAAGAAAAGATAAACCTCTAATTGATTTCAGAAGAAAGATCAAAACTATCTCAATTTTCTGTAAATAAAAGGAAAACAAACGAAAAGAGACATGTCTTATGAATTAAGGAACCGTTAAAATGGCCTCAGCTCTGAACTCTACACGGGAGACATGTCTGATTTGTCTAATTAAAAATATTGCGTCTAGTTAAAGTGAATAAAAAGCACAGAAGTACGTCATTCAACCAGCAATCCATCCTATTAATCGATTTCGACTTAACGGGAAATTGTCTTAAACAAAGAAAAGAAAGTTGATCAATGCTGTTGAACAAATTGTATCAGATAATGTTTTATGTAAATTGATGTTTTTTTTTTTAAAATATATTTCGAATATATCAAAATCTTCCTGGCTTGTCCGCCCGCTAGGTATCATACTGTCGGACGAGGCCAGATTTACCGGAGAGAGCACACGACCGTTTTCACGTTTAGGTGTTGATTTGACCCCAATCGTTTTAGTGACAGGCAAATACGTTAGCCTTTGAGCAACCCATACGCACGTGTCTGATAAAAACAAAGATGCGTCTAGAGAAAAGACGAGTCTCGATTATTTGAGAAGCTTCTTATGACGTCAATCAATAATAAAGACGGGTCCAGAATGAACCCTTACTCGCTAAGACGCAATTACGTCATCATGTTGAATTTAAAAAAAAAAACTTTACGTGAAGAAATGTTACTTGTTCATGACTCGGCGACGAAAAGAACTGTCGGTTTCATGATGTGTTAAAACAACGTGTGATTGCTGATGACGTCATAGATGGATAGAGATTTTATCTCTGTTCTGAAATACGAATAAACATAAGATAAAATAGCTTACCCCTGGTAATGTTTTTTGTTCGTGTAGCGCTTGCTGGGCATTTAGAGCACTGTCTCTACTGCAATATGTGAGGAATGCGCAGCCTGAAATACAAAAATGAACACGTGATACATGTTTTATATACCTAAAATGCAAGTAGGAATAAATCAATCAACAAGATTCGATAAGTTGTAACGTGGTGTATTATATAACTAAACTGAAAGAAGAAATGAATCAATCAATTAGATACGATTAGTTGTGACGTGGTGTGTTATATATCTAAAATGAAAGTAAAAATAAACCAATCAACCAGATTCGATAAGTTGTAACGTGGTGTGTTATACGTCTAAAATGGAAGTAGAAATAAGTCAACCAACCATATTCGTTTGAATGTTAAACAGTGTACCATATCCCTATAAGGTATACATTAGATGCATACCAAAAGTAAAGTATTGATTACGTACTCGCTGTAATTGTTACATTTATTTATTTATTTATGAAATGATTTAACTAACTTGATAGGAAACGCCATCAGATATATTAATGTATACTGTTAATTCAATTTAAAATGACCACAGGTAGTATCAGATATCTAGGTAGTTCAATTCCTTTAGAATGTCAATCCGGGTGGATGTTAGATAAAATGGTGCCTTGTTTATCCCCATCTTGGACATGTCAGTCCACTGTATACCGATACCGACGTAACTGGCGACCATTGTTGTTTACATAGGGAACATCTAGATTATTAATATATAATTGTTAATACCTTCGCCGACCAAATCATTGTAAATTGTAGCATATGTTCTCATATACTACAAGTTGGCGTAGTAATGATATCAAGGCGAATCAAACACAGAATGTAAATAACACATTTATTTCTGCCAGAACTACTTTTTGGTTGACGTCTCACCTTGACCACTGAATATGTATTCGTATGCTTGACGAGATGGTCGTTCATAGTCTGGTATATTCCAGTCTGGCTAAGATAGGCCTAAATGGAGAGCTGATAATTGAATGGAAATATTTAGTTTTGTTTCCCACCACAATTTCGAGCGGAATTGGTCCTGTTCCACTATCGATGTAATCATGTGACGTCATTTACCTATGACGTCACCATAATTTGTTATTGGTGACAAACTTTGTGATAATCTCTTTCAGTCAGACCCTTGTTTCTGCACAATATTAGCCAAGAGAGAACGAAGTAATCAAACAGCTTGGTGATCCAGACTAACTTTGTGATATGTTATGAACACTTGATATTTTTAGAAGAAGATATAAAACAAACAAACATAATATAGACTTTCAGCAGATGACACCTGACATTTTGAAAAAAAAAATTTATAAATTGTAAGAAGTCTGATGAAAAATGGTGTCTCGATTACAAAGCAGGTGCGATATCAGAGACTGAGAGAATGAAACAGGGTTCCAACCACAAGTAAAAAGGATTGATCTCATTTTTCACAGTTTATCACCTATACCTATTAAACACATCTATTGTACATGTAACAAACAGTGTGTCCCTCGGCAAATACGGAAAGATCCAGAGAAAATATGGATGGAATTATTTCAACGTCATGCTGAATTGATCATGTATGACTGGTGTGATAAACTCAAACTCAAATTAAAAATCAGCAACGCTAAGGTGAAAAAAAATATCGACAGAAAAACATGAATGAAGAATCCCGAGAGAGTACAAAGAGACTAAGTTTTTTCGGAAGATTAAACGTCTTCTGCTTCATTGATAACACCAGCCATGAAATATTAGTCTTTCCAAAGAATTAATGTCACGTTCCGAAACGAGAACGATGTCACAAAGAATAAAGCCAACAACAATGCCTAAACTTGTCTGACAATTTTTTTCTATTTCATTTAAAGAATTAGACTTTTAGACTTACAGAATTCATTTTATTAAAAAACAATTTCTAAATTTATTGAAGAGTTCAAATTGTGGTAAATCATGTTCATATATCTGTTATGAAGAGGAAGTGTCTTGTAGCAGAATCAATAAAGTATTTGTAAGATGTTTGCATGGGCACGGATTGTCAAATTGAACATTTTATCACTAGAAATAACATTCATTTTCCGAATAAATTTTCTGTTGTGGAAATTTCATACATATATATTTTATTTTTTATTATTTTTTTTTAACATAATTAAGGTCGAGGTCAAATTATGATGTCATAAATAACGTTGATGTAACCAAATAGGACATTGCACTCATAGTCGATATAAACGCCATGCTGATCATAAAGAGATTGTATTTAGCGGTAATATAATACACGGGAAAATCTATGTCACAATGTTTACTTATATATTCATAAGATGATTTATTTTCTTCAGCTGTATATATTAAAAAAATTTAAAATTGGATAAATATAGAATTTGTGAACGTCATACTTAAAAGAAAACCTAAAATGAAGTTTTGAAAGTATGATTTTTTTCTCAACTTTTTATGCATAAAATGGACTCTCTTGATACTTTCACTGATTTCAATTTTGGAGAGAAAATGGAAATTAAAAGGAATACCATATTTGGAAGCTACAGTTAAGCTTCAATGACTTTTTAAGAGTGATAAAAAACAACTTCGAGTGAGAATCTAATAAAAAGAAAGAAAACGGACTAGCACAGCATCGTATCGATTACGAAAATGACGCTCCATTATAGGAGCTAGCAATATGCATATGTCAGTAGCCGCTGTTTCATAAAAAAAAATCCCTATTGACGCCTTAATTTATTGGAAATGACAGTTTGACAAATACTGGAATACACAGTTATCATTTTGAATGCATGAAGAATATTTAGGGAGGAAAATCATTGAATCCGAAACGTTATAGAAAGATGTCGGTTACGATTTATATGGTGTGGAAAACCGTGACAGCAGATAGAAAAACGGAAGGAGGCCATAGTATCGTGTATATTCACGGATGACGATTTCCTTTGTTGATCTGTTGCTAAGGCAGTACACATTTGTCTAAAACAGTATAAGTTTAACGAAATTTAGACAATATATTTCATTATAATTCCAAATACTGCAAAACCGTTAATTTTCGTGAGGAATATTTTTATCATTTAAATTAAAGGTACTCAAAATCCATGAATCAACTTCGTCAACGAAATGATGAACAGATAAAAGTTAATTATTGTGGATTTATTGATTAAGATTTTTTCCACAAAAGCGGCAACGAAAACGACGTCGTGTATGTTTTAGAAACCCACGAAATTTGAGGTGAGGTGGGGTGGGGGTGGGGGTGAGGTGAGGTGGGGTGGGGATGGGGATGGGGGTGGGGGTGAGGTGAGTTAGAGGTGGGGGTGGGGTGAGGTGGGGTGGGGATGGGGGTGGGGGTGAGGTGAGGTGGGGGTGGGAGGGGGGTGACGTGGCATGGGGGTGGAGTAGGGGTGAGGTGAGATGGGGGTGGGGTTGGGGTGGGGATGGGGTGGGGGTGGGGGTGGGATGGGGATGGGGGTGGGGGTGACGTGGGGTGGGGGTGGGTGTGGGTGGGGGTGAAGTGAGGTGGAGGTGGGGTGGGGGTGAGGTGAGATATGGGTGGGGTGGGGGTGAGGTGAGATGGGGGTGGGGTTGGGGTTGGGGTGGGGATGGGGGTGGGGGTGGGGGTGAGGTGAGATGGGGTAGGTTATTTCAGTTGTGCGTTTTATTTTTGTTCATTGATCTTTATTTTGGCAAGTTCCTTTTAATATTATTTACTATAAACTTTTGTTCCAAATCTTTTCATATAGCATCAGTAGTAACATCAAACACGTAATTGATATTGGATATGGAAACAAGATTTACAATTTATATAAATCAATCTCCAGTTAGAGAAAACGCAATCGAAATTGAAGACATACACTATCATAATATGTGAGATGAGAAAAAACAAGTGATTCTCATAGAGTATGGTCTATAGGAGTAGAAGAGGGAGAAAGGGGGTCTGGATCTCTCAGATATACCATAATACAGTTTATACAAAATATATACTAAATTCACGGTAAATGAAAGTCCTGGACATACAGGTATTGAGAGAGAATAAAGAAAACTTTAGAAAATCTTAGAGTGAAATTTAGCGCACATGAAAAAAATCAAAGCATTTTCAGCGTTTGATTAATTTTAATTACTACTTCACAATTAGCTGGTGTTGTTAATATTTAAAATTTTTGGTCAAACTAGTTGATAACTACATATATGATAGGAAATGAAATGAAATTTCCAAAATGAAAACGTTGTCGAACAATCCAGTACATAAGTGCTTTCTTGCGTGATACATACAACTTCCGGTAAGAAAAAATAATCGATATTTCTTCAATGTCGCGAGATGTAATAATTAGAACAGGATGAATTTCACGAAGTCACATCGGAAATATAACCTTACACACACGGCAAAAATAGTCGATAATTGTTAGGACCATGACGCAAGCTAGACGCTAACTATATACGATGGTTGTCAAGAACGATTTGATCAGAAGCACGCTTTCTTAAAGAATGTAGCCTGTCAGCTGCAGGCAAAAGTAGACGATAATTAACTGTGGTTTAGATTAACTGTTAAACATGCCATACGGTTCTCAGGGAAAACAGAATATATTATCAGGAAATAAAGAAAATGCATCACGTGACATAAGAAGCATCTAGACATTCTCTTCATCATTTTTATCATCATCATCATCATCATCATCATCATCACCCCCCACCACCACCACCATCATCATCATCATCATCATCATCATCTTCTTTTTCATCTTCTGAATCATCATCATCATCATCATCATCACCCCCCCCCCCCCCCACCACCACCACCACCACCACCATCATCATCATCATCATCATCATCATCATCATCAACATCATCTTCTTTTTCATCTTCTGAATCATCATCATTATCATCGTCGTCATCGGCGGCGGCGGCGGCGGCGGCGGCGGCAGCGGCGAAGGCAATGGCTACATAAGGCATGAATGTTTTACAACGAAAAAAGTATGAAGCATCCGGTGAATTTTGTGGTTTATCAAATCAGTCATGTGTTTTCTCTTAACAACAAGAAGTAGTTTCATATGTACACGTTAATATACAATAGATTCTATATAAGTGTACAGGATTGTCAAAATATACAATGT